GGGGGGACTACGATTGCAGTCGGGCCAGGTAGCGGCTTCGTCCTTTCCGAGAAATTTTACAGGTAACAATAGTGCAGTTATGCATTAGGATTCGAAGTTCAGTTTGCTTTGTGACATCATCGGGTAAATATCGTTAATTGCGCATATTAAATCTTTGACTGAAGGTGAACCAAAAAAACTTGATTTGTAGTTGCTGCCGCGCCCTTTTTTCTTCTTTTGTGTTTTTCTCGAAACCACGTTTTTCAAACTAGTGGGCACCATAACTCAAAATCAAACATACCGATTTCGATGAAATTTTTACCACGTATTCTTTATAAAATTATCTATAGAACTACGAGCTTTTTTTGATTGGTTGTTTCATTGTCAAGTTATAAATTTATTTAATGTACATTGAAATCGTCTTTTTTCTTCAAGTCACTGCCATTTTTTCAAAAAAATTAAAAAAATTTTTTCCCCTCGTAGTTCCATTCGATTATCTGTCTAAATAATACATTTTGTTCTTTGAATTTTTCCAATGATACCCCAGTGAGAAATCGTGCCCACCAGTAATGAGGATTTGGAAAAACAAGCACCAACCAAAAATTTATATCCCCGCCATTTTTTAATTAAAAAAAAAAAATTTTTCCTGGAAATTGTTCGGAAATATAAAAGTTTCCGTATAAATATTATGTATGCGTTAAAAAATAAATTCATTTTTTAACCTGTTTTTTCCGAGCGTTAGGGTAGTGCAACTCCTTAATAAATTGATGCCGAGTTTCCAAATGGTTCCTACAATATGTTTTTCCCTATTAGATTAGATCTATTGATTATATCTATATAAAAATTGACTATGAGCAGAACTAATCGTTCAATTATGCATTTTCGATACCATCCGTTTGAGTAATAAATGAAAAATTTCGTTCAAATTTTAAGTTTATCGGTCGATTTTTACGCAGGGGAGACGGCAAACAACTTTTTTTTTTCAAAAACATAAAAGTGACAATAACTATGAATTCTTCCAGGGGTCACTTTCCAAATTCTGGTTAATTCCATGAGTGCCAATGATGAACAGAAGAATTAAATTTTAGAAAATTAAATATCGAACTTAGTTTTGGAGCTATTTCGAAAAAAACAAGTTATAAACAAATCACGTTTTCTCAAGTCCAGAGTTAACCTCAACTCTCACTTACTATTTGGCAAAATTTCAATTTTTTTGAAATTTTTTTACTCGCCTGTATTTTTTATCAACTAATAAATGACCCCTGGTCAGACTGGTCCACCCACAGGCATTTTCAAAAATTTTTTTTTTTTACATCTCAGACCATTCTACATCGTTTTCAAGCAAAAGTAGATTTTTCTTTGGTCAGGATTGGACGATTGCAATGCTTGCGTTCGGAAGTAAAAAATTGAGACTGCTTTTTTTAGATATCTTCCTTTTTCTGCTACCATTATGGTTTTATAAGCGCCTCTCGTCTTATAACCTTAAGCCTCTCTCTGTCTGTCCTCCTTCTTCTTTTTGCGGTAGTATGAACCGACTTCTCAACTGCACTCATTGGGCTTGTAGTGAGGGAAACCATGGAAAAATCCAGTCTTGCAACTGGTCGGCAATGCAGGGATTCTGCTGTATTGACTAGTCACACTAATTCAATGAATACAGTACTTCATGCCTATCGCCGGCATTCTCCAGGCAGAGAGGTGTAATTAAGCGGATACCTATCTAAGTACTACCCCAACAAAACGTTATTTAGCTTGAATGTCGCCTAGCGCCGGGATGGCGCTGGAGTCACACACCACCCGCGTAGCTACTATACCGCTACTCTAAAAATTGATATAGTAATTTAAAATTTGTCGTCCCGAAAGGTCTCTTTTATAATGCCATTAGTAGTTATTAAATCAACGCTCAATCGGACATAGAGTTCAAAAGATAGTCGACTGTGTATGTACATATTATTTCTTCAACATCTCCGTAACGACATGACTTCATCCCATTATTTTCTGTCAAAATATTCATCTTGATAGCCCCTGTCGAGGTGAATCAAAATATGCATACCCGTCCATACAAAGTCCATACAAAAGACAGGTGAGGATATATTTGAAAAACAACTTACCATTTTCTCTTTCCATCTGAAGACATTCAAGAGAAGTTCAGATCCCAAATATGACAGTTTATAAACTAAATTTGTTGTTTCTTTTTGTTTTATTTTACAGAAAGGAAGACTCGAAGATGTAGTAGTGAACACAACTTACAGAGGCAAACAACTCGGGAAGTTATTAGTAACAACAATTGCTCAATTAGCAAAGCGTCTACAATGCTACAAATTATCTCTGGACTGTCGTGATCGCTTAATTCCTTTTTACGAAATTTTAGGCTTCAAACGAGAGCCTGGAAATGCTAATGCTATGAACATGAGAATTGAAGCGATTAGTGAACAATCTCGATTGTGATTCTTGCTTTGTCGAATTTCGACAATTTTACCTTAGATTAGAACACAAATTGAGTAATTTCTTAAAAGAAAATGGCAACTGAAAATAGCGCAGGGATGAAATAAAAAGAATTTCCACATGAAAATGTTTATTCAATAATAATTATTTTCTACTAAAGTAATGTATATTACACTGATTCTTGTGATATAACTTGCCATCATGTTAAAAATCGATATATTACTTGTTTAAAAAACCATTAAACTTTTTTAGCTGCAGGTGTTGTACGTAGTCTGGCAGCTCTTTTTGCTTCCATTTGTCGTTGTCGTGCCAACTTTTTTTCCTCACGTTTCTTTTTTGCTTCTTCCAATTTGTTGCTAGGTTCTGATCCGCCTAGAACAGAAGGAATAATTGTTTCATCAAAGAATTCATTAGGCTGTCGTTATAAGTGGATCGTGGAGTGGATGTAATGCAGATTATTTTTAGGGCTAACCACCGTGATATAAACATTATGTTTAGTAGCAGAGGGAATAGACGGGCCATAGAAAACATACAGTTGTTTCTGATAACAGTTATTAACGAATTATTAAATTAGTTTAGGATGTTTTTCTTTCTATTTGGGATGTGTGAATAGTTTGGGCATCATTATAGTTTATACCTGAGTAGGACAGTCTGGATTTTTCGATGCACCAATGTTCGGCAGTTGAGAATATAATAATCCATTGCACATACAGTACGAAACGTTGGGTATTCCACGCCAAATCGACCGCTTTTAAAGCCGCCCCCTTTCGATCTTGCCAAACATTTTCTATCCTTTTCTACCTTATGAGAAACGTTTCTCTGAATTTTTTCAATTTTTTCTTCCAACCCAAAGAAGGTGTTAATTTTTTTTTAAATAGAGCATTTATCTTTAAATAGTCATAACGTCTTTAAAACTTGACCCTTCAGTATTCTTTTTTAATTTTAGTTTTTGAATGAATTTTTCGGCAAAAACTACAGCAAAAATTTAATATTCTTAAATATTTCTTTCTTATTTTTTTAATTTGATTGTAAAAAAGTTTCCAAATTTCCTAAATTAAGAGTTTTTCGTTTTCATAAACTCGATTTATACAATAAAAGATATGGTATTAAGGCCCTGTTGGCTTATCTAATTATCTCATATAAATTGTTTTTTTTTTTAACTAGACCCTTGGTGCAGGCCTAGATCAAGCAGCAAGCAAAAGTGAAAACAAGTGGGGAATTGCTCTTATATCGCATATCATATAGTTGTCTTTGCTAATAAATTAGCAATATGCTTCCGAATGATTATTCCTCGTATTATCTTTCTTTTTTGTAAATAATCTTTCATTTGTATTTCATTAAATTTAATAATTTGGTAACATTGTACTTTTATGACCTAAAATTCAAGTAGGTACTCCATTTGAAAGAAAAAAAGATTCAATTAGGTTGAGATGAGGGTGAGCAATTAGAGAAAATAAATGGAAAATGATATCACATATACACATATGCATACATACATTCGGACACGGTTTAAAAACTGCATTTATATCCCAGCGGGAGTAAAAAGCGCGATCGAACCGAGCGAAGCGAAAAGAGTTTTCTCCCAGGAGTGTAAAATATACTATACTTTTATAGCCCCCCTCCCCTCGCCCCTCTGATCCTCAGACATTTACTACTTGTGCTTTTCTAGAATTACCCTTCCATTTCAATTAAAAAGCATGGACTCCATATTTTTCATTTTTTTTTACTTTTTTTCGGCTTACATGCATTTCTGTGGTGCAACCCTGCTTGATGCACGGCTACACCAAAGTTTCAGAAAAAAAAACTATTTCTGCGCGTTTTATGTTAACATTAAATCTCATTATTTCGCTCCCGCCAGGTGGAATACTTGCTTCATTTTAGGTCTCACCTGAATTGGTTTTGGGACGGTGGCTGGAGGAAGAATAGGGATAACAACATGGCTGTCGTATGTTTGACCTAGTGCTCCGAAGTAATAAAATGAGGAGCAGAGCCTTTATTCTTCTCAATACTGCGTAAATTCATTACCTAGCAAGCTTAGATATACTTTAAGTACCTAATTTATTAAAAATGGATACAAACTTACAATTAATATTAATTTTATTAGTTCGGAGCACTAAGTCAAGCACACAACAGCCATGTTGTTATCCCTATTCTTCCTCCAGCAAACATTCCAAAACCAATTCAATTGAGACCTAAAATTAAGCGAGCGCTCCACCTGGCGGGAGCGAAATAATGAGATTTTATGTTCACATAGAACGCGCAGAATTTTTCCCCCTCCAACCCGGCCTTATTACAGTATTATATTACCAATTTTAATTGATATTTTAATTAAAAGTTCAATTCTTGTTGTAATCATCGTAGATTGAGACTATCAATTGATAACATAGTACTGTAAAATTGCTTAATTGTATTCGTTTTAATGTATCAATAAAATTTATGAAAAATATAGTTTTTTTGTGTTGAAAATTGTTTTGCAATCAAATAAAACAGCTATAAAAAAAATTGGCCCACTCTGAGATTGGCATGGATAACCACAGAATTACTTGAAGTTTTTTCTTAGTGTGATGTTGGAGAGTTTTATCGGGCTGTAAACATAGGTATACACGATGAAGATTAGCGATCAGATCGGTATACGCACTGCTACTTAGTTTGACTCATGGTTAGCTTAAAGTTCGGAGTTCAGAGGTCTGCTGTGGTCAGCTCCCAATCATACTGTACTGTCTCCAGTCTTCACGACTTCGTCAGGGCTCTCACCAAATCTCAATTTGCTGAGCCGAGCAATCTTACGGTTAGTTTTCATAGTTAGTTTTTTGGTATCACTGATGCCAAGTCAGTCAAATAGTGCATCATATATAGAACTGGACTTTTATCTAACCGTGGGACTGCTGATACCATGACTGGATGACAAAAAAGAGAGATCATATTTCTCATTCTTACCATCCACGATTGCCTTCAGTATTAAAGATATCTTCTTTTTAAAAATCGATGCATTGTTTAACTCCCACATGAGAAAACAAATCAAAAATGGCAAACTTTGAAAAAAACAACGGTTTTTCTTGAAAAAAGCGAAAATTTCATAGACTTTCCATCTTGATTTTTTTTTGTATTTTTTCCAAGAAATCCATTGAAAAACAAAGATTTTGAAGACAAATTCATAACCTTTTTCGGGTCGAGTAAAAAAATTGGAAAAAATTTTAAGAAACACTTCTCATGGGGTCGAAAAGGATGGAAAATTTCTGAAGAGGATCGATTTGATATAAAATACATCCCATGTCCATATTAGTGCATCAACTGATAATTTTTCTAAACGTAAATGTAGCACAGACTATTTTCGTGATGCTTTTCGAAATTCACTTTGCAGAGTTATTTAGGAAGGAAAACCATATGTTTTCGCGTGGAGTGCGTAAAAGAAAAGGTCGTGCGCAAGTTCAATTTTGGGTGCGTAACGCGAACTTTCATGCACCCAGTCACACTTTACGTACACTACACGGTTCCGAAGAGTGATCTTGAGACTACAGATTAGACAGGTGTTACAAAATATTATATTTCGATATAATTGCGGAAAAGTAGCTTTAGCAGTAGTAAAATGTTAAACAAGTTGCTTTTAGAGATTTATTAATTCACCTGCTAACTCTATAGTGTGAAATTCATCCAATTCCTGAAACTCCTGATCATCCCAACCAGTTTCAGAAGCTTTTGTACGGTCCTGAACTCCTTCTGCACCCTCTTCTTCCTATGTACAATGAAAAAAATCCTTTTGAAAAATAATGAGAATAATAGAGGGTTTCTCCTGGGCATTGGGAGAATTAATCCCATGTAAAAATAGGGCAAAAAAGAGACAGCATCATTGAAGGTAAAGTAGTTATTTATAGTGGTTTAAAGTCAACCAATTAAAAAGTGATGTTGGCGTAAAATTGTCAATATAACGGTAGTAGTAGAATAAATTGCAGAGAAAATTGGTCATTTCGATTGATCATTTTGATTTTAACCCATTAGAGTGCACTATTCGCGACCATATGACTTGTTCCAATCTCATAATCTTCTAGGCTACAAGAAATTATCGAACCGATAATTTCCTTCGGACCTGTCGAATGTCTTTCACAAATTTGGCAGATATCGCTTAACTAATCATTAAATCGACATTATAGTTTGTGGTGAATTGAGGAGACTAATTGTAAAACGAGTCGATTTTGATGAAATGCGATAGAAGAAATCGATTTAAAAAAAAAAGAAAGCAGTGTTCCTAGTGATACTGTAATGTCACAAGTTGAATAATCATGAACTTTGAATGAACCCTTTCATCTTGTGAGTAAAAAAGAAATTTCTCGAATACTGAATTCGGGGTGATTGAAATCGAACTGAAAAAAAATATCTCAGGAATGCCTTCTGACCTTCAAAATGAAGTCAATCTTACCGGTTCTTCCTCTAAACTACTCCAATGATCGTTCGATTTCGAAACTGTCGCGCATGTAGACGGATTACTCGTGCTTGTGGTCGTTATGCTAGTAGGCTGTTGCTCCATATCTCCCCAATTATCAGCGTCCCAATCCCAATCTCCATCAGAATTAGTATGGGCCGTGTGTTGTGAATCATGGTCATGATCGGGTTCCAATGAAGTCATGCTCGTTGCACTACTTGTCGTTGCCGTCGTACTGGCACTGCTTTGAGAACTACTCGCTTGTTCTAAATATTTAAAAATATGTAACAATTAAATCTTCCCCGAAATTATATTATTCACCCAGTACCTATCACAGAGTTCATAAATTAGAGAAAGAAAGTTAGAAAAAATAAGAATGTAGAACAATGCAAAACAACAGGCCAAAGTAGAACACTAGATTATGTTATTTTTTGGACTGAATCAATGTATTAAGCAGATGCTTCAATTTGCCTCACTCTTGTATACTCATTTTTAGCTCATAGGAAATCGTAAGGCTTCAACAGAGACATTTTCAGAATTTAATTTTGAGTCCCGCAAAATCGCATTTTCTCACTTCTGTATTCTGTTCGAGTTTTGCGAAATACTCACCGAGTGATGCAGGTTTATTCAGTAGAATGCGTGGTGCACCGTAAGGATTGGAAGATTTTGGAGTATCTGATTGACTTCGATAGAATTTAGCTGTCATCGTTGTAACAGCCCAACCGGCCCACGTGGCTGCTGCATTGCTGAGACTTGGAGTTGCAGTATTGACGTCGGCCTCTGTTCAATGAATAAATTGGTAAGTTAATTGATAATAGGCGTATTCAAGAAATTAATGAAATATCATCATGTTATCCGTCTCATCCATTATTTACGGATGTAACTATAACTCTAAAACGTTGCAAAAATTGTGTGGACTTTCTGCGACGGTGGGTATTAATTCAATATAAAATGCCAATGTTTTTTTAATACCCATCGCGAATACCCATCTTTGCAGCAATTTTGAGGCACCAAAACAGTCACAAAATCATCTTTTGGTCACTCAGATCATGAAGCAATACTTGACGGCCGTCTAACTCTGTTTACGGACTAAATAACAAAAAATATTGTTCGCCACACGACCATGAAGAACTTTTTTAATTGATATGAGTATAGAATTCACTTTCGACTGATTCGCTAACCTCATATTCGCCAGAAACAGTATTTTTCTAACCTAGGAAGGGAACATAAAGGATACCTTCCTACACGCAGAATTTAGCTCACCTATGCGATTTACCTTGCCTTCAGTTTGGCTGGTAATCTTGCGTGTGGGCAAAAGTCCTTTATGTTCCATCCGTAGGTTAAAAAATGTTATTGAGTGAATAATTTTTTGAGCAACGTCCGGAAAGAACACTGGGATGAACACGAAAAAGATATAAATTACCCATTGATTCTCGAAGTCCAGGGTCCTCTGAAACTCTCTCGAGCTTTGACAAAAAGCCCCGGATAGTGCGGAAAGCGTGATCTCTGACGCTCTTATCAGCATCAGTTGTTAGTGGACACAAGGCCGGAAGAATACGATTGGCCACCTCTTGGAGTAAATAGTATTGCTGAGTAATTGCTAGTGCAGATAAACTGGCACTCCTTGCCGGGGGAAATGGATCTCTTGTACCCCGAATAAATGCTCCAATCAGTACCTTGGATTGATTTATTGATTTATTAATTGGTTCACTTATTAAAAGTGCATCCAAACAAAAAAACAAAGAGAAAATGCTATTTAATTGATATTTATTCATTAAATTTTACATTAAAAAAATGTCACCTTTTGACGAATTTGCGGATGTAGATGTTGAGCAATTTTCCCCAGACAGACTGTAGTATTAGTCCTTATCCCACCTTGCTCATCACTAGATTGTAATTTTGCAAAGTATCTAAGAACTTCAACGTTGAGATTATTGTAATCTAATTTGGGTGCTAAATGAACCACAGACTTGATTGTTTGTTCTCGTACAGCAGGATTCGTATCTAGAAAACCACGGGCTACCTAAAAGACATGACAGTGTTCTTCTTAATTTTTTTGTTTGCACTAATATAACTTTTCGGTACTGAAAATAAGTATATCATTATCCTTATTTCAAGTGTATGTTAAACTTAATTCAAGTGTATAGATTATATTTAATATACTAATAATAATGTACTTCAGGTTGCGGCGTACAATAAATTGCGAAGCTCCAGCCCTTGGATTATAATGTACCATTGGCTGAGCAGATCGATTGTGTCGGGTTTTGAACGAGAAACATCGGAAGAGGTTAAAGACATTGGATTAGGCATGCTGAAGGGATTGTTGGTCTCTGAGGTCGAACAGAGTACTAAGGAGTCCTGGAGAGGGTAGATACGTTGTGACAGCAAGAGGCTCGAGATGCTCTGGGCAAGGATCTGGTCGGCCGATGGCAGAGAAGCAGAATGGGAGGTATATGAGGGTCACAGGCGTTGTGGTGGATTCTGGAACCCATCCTGACCAAAAAATAATGGATTCTAGATGAAGATTGGGCCTGAGGGATTGAGAGATTTGGCGAGGAAGTTTTACAGCCAATAAGTTTTCGCCTAGAAAATAGTGATACAGTAATTGAACCAAGATGGCGAAGAGGTCTCAAAGGGGCCTATGAGATGGCTGGAGGGAGCAGGACAAGTCTTTGAAGACCGGAGGAGCGGAAGAGGAAACTACGCTTAGTATCTGAAGAGAAGCAATCTAGGAGGACACTCTGACAACCGACGCGATGGCGTAAGGAGAAACACCAATGTCAGCGGGCTTTTTTTCCAGTGCAGGGACAAAGGCAATCTTCAAACGGCTGCTTCTACGCTCTGAGCACTCAATAAGTCAAACACAGTTTTTAAGATTTGTTTTTCTTTTAATTTATGTAACAAGGAGAAGCTTCTATAATCTGTATAATTATTATAATATTTCTGCATAAGGGATGGCAACAAAATGTAAAAACTCTAATGCGCATACATATGATAAATAAATTTAATATTAGGTGCTAGGGCAATATCAAAGAAAGAAAATCTAGTCGAACCATCTCGCAGTTGCCTTTAACTCCGAGGTGTCAGAAATTCTGAAGAAATAAATCTGAAGGGTAGAATAGGCCACTTTCTTCCCGGCATTAGGGGAGTCAAATCGAACTTTCCATGTAGGTATGATAGAAAATGTATTACTCAATATAAAATTTTGATAAACCATGAAATGACCATAGTGACGTATAACATTGACATCCTTGTCACATTTTCACCTAATCGAAAAATGCTTCTCATCTATGCCTTGCCACCCTGTCTTGTCTTCACTGACGTAACAAAAAGGGACCTAAAAAATTTATCGCGGGCGCGAGCTGATTTTTCTCATCAAGAAATTACCATTCGAAGTACCGTTTAGTACAATTTGTCACCTAAGAATCTTTACTAATCACAAGGAAATATATTTGGCATTAGCAAATGTTCTGGGAGTAATTATACAGTGAGTCCCAGATTCACTTGTAGAATCAACATTTTGCAAAAGATTTGGAATTTTTTGTTCTCAGTGTAGCTATTCGGGTAAAAATTACCTAATTTTTAGGCAATTTTTCTCAAATGGCTAGATAACTTTCACCAAGTAATCGTCATGGTTTTCTAAGCGGTACAGTACTCCTTCCCGTGCGGCTAAAACACAAGGCGGTTAACGAACGGATAGGTAAACTTGACAGACTTTTTCTCTCCATGTAGTTCACAGAATAGATTAAGGGTGAACTGACGGATAGGTATCTATACCTATAGGTAAGCACTACTCAGTAGATTTACGTTGGGTTTAGGTTATATAGTGGATGGTGGAGAGAGGGACGGATTCGGAGAACAGCGCAAAAATATTATTATTAATAAAAGAAATTATAGACTTTATCTTGCTCAACTCAACGTATCTTTTAAGCCCTTCCTTGAAAGGGCTAAATATTTGTTAAACTAGTTGAAATTATTGGTAATCTCGACGATTCTTGTTCGAGTGGCAATAAACAAACAGAAAATAAATAAATTTATTGTTGTCTACGAAGTATCGCACATAGTCGGGTTTCTCCACCGGATTTCAATAAATACAAAAAGAAAAAAATATATGTACGAAAAGACTGCGTAGAGGAAAATTACGTGAGCAAATATGAGATAAGAGAATTTGAAAACCCAAGAAGAGAGAGACCGATGAATTGTGGGAAAAGGAAATGGGATCTTAAACTATATCATACAAACGGTGTACGTAAACAGCCGACTAATTAATTTTACCAGGCCCTACCCGCTTATTCGATGAGCATCGGACAAATGTCACTACCGAGAGGGATCTATTGCAGACAGTCATCTGAAATTGAGGGTTCCCCGAGCATCCGGGATCGACATATTCATATTCGAACCATTCATATTTAAATGAGGGGACGCCAAAATTCGGAACAATGATACTAACCCCAATTTATTTTAATAATCTTTCTTAAATATCCTAATTAATAATCTCTCTTCATCACAAGGACAAGGACACTAAAATGACAAAACTAGCAACATGGCTACGGTTATTTAGCGGCACGCTGATCTTGGACGTCTCTGCCGATTTTCTATCCTTCGACTCAATCCCCCGGTGGCCAGGTGCAGTGAGTAAGTTCATTGCCTCACAGCAGATAGGTTCCAGGCTCCATTTCTAGCCGGGTAGAATGGTAAAATCTAACCATTCTTAAGAAGTCTTGATCAGTCCCCCATAGTCATCACCACTCGAAGCCATATAGATCAAGTGATAAAAAAGAATAGCACATCCCTTGGGAGTGTTGGTGCCTCCAGTTAACCTGTTCGTCCCGAAGAGCTTTTGCGAACGACAACCCTCTAGTGCAGAGGTGGGCAACCTCAGCTCTCGGAGCTTCTCCAGCTCCCGACCTTCATTAGGCAAAATTGTCCCAAGCCATAAAATTTATGGCTGCACCCCCTTCGGACCCACGATGCCCTGCGTGTAGGCAAGAGTAGTGGAGATATTCGGCAGAAACTTGGTGGTGGGAAAAGTGAAATAGAAAAATTCATTTTTTCAATTATTGTTTTTTCTGTTGTTATCCTTTTGATTGGTCATTGCTTGCTTTTAATTGTCTTTGTGAAAAAAGATTTCGTACCTTTCGTAGATTTCTTGAAGTTATTTTGAAATTTTAATTGAAATATTGTTTGGAAAACAATGATTAAATATTACCATGTTGATAATAGACCTGACTTGACATGCATTTTCAAATTATTCATTTCTATATTACTCGCTCTCGATGCCAAATTAAAATGAACAAATCTCACAATCACAAAAATTATCGACATCCTCTAATTTTTAATTGACGATGAATTATTTCTTTCTCAAGTTCACGAGCATCCCACTTTCATTTCCACCGATCAATATTGAATCTAAAACATCATCTTTTAATTCCATTTTTTTTTCATCAAAAAGTTTAAACCATTTTGCCGTCACATTTCAGTCACGCGCATGCACCATTGCTCGATGTTACCCTACCACACAAATATATGACAACCCTTGTGATCACGTTAGGTCCCTTATAATTGGAACCTTAATAATTTTATCGCTGCAGCTCCTGAGATTGCCCACCTCTGCTCTAGTGCACGCCCGCTCGTAATTACACCTCTTATACCCCTTTTCGTGACACGATAAAGAATCTACATCATTCTTCATTAACTTTCAATACTTCCCTAATGATCAATCGAACAATCAATCTCTTGCTGTATGTCACACCCTGTTTCATAAATAACCTCCTGAAGATAATCTATAATTTTGATTAAATGGGTTAGGACAGAAATTTACCTGCGGAAAAATAGCATCATTAACTGTAGACGGTTGTAGATGATTGACAAATCGATCAAGTTGTTGTAGAAGTCTCAATCTTGTTGCACGATCATTTGATGCAAATAATTTGACAACACAGGGGACAACTCGACGTTGGTATTCCGCATCAGGTAATTGAGTACCTAATTGCAGTAATGGGGGTAAAACTGCACTTCCGGCTTCACCAAACTCAAAGGCAGCCAGTAACTGTGGCAATATTTTGTACCTCCCAACACCTTCGGGAAAACTGTCTAATTGTCCAGCTAAACAGGAGAAAAATCGGCCCTTTTCGCCTTTTTCTTTCATTTGAATTTCTTCTAGAAACAAAAGGGCATCGACCAGATCGTTTTTGAAGAATCCTCCGTTGCTTCGACATCTGGCTATTACATCGGCTGGATTCGGGCGACCTTCAGAATTTGTACCCGTTAATTCACGGTATACGGTCATCAATTGTTTGGGAATCTACAAAAAATAAATTCTATATCATCGCTGAAAATTCCTCAAATTTAATTTTGAAATTACTCAAAATCTAAAAATTCATAAATATCCCATGTAAAGTACATTTTGTGCTGGAAATCCCCTCCAGAAAGTGGCAAAGTTCAATTTTTTTTTTAAATTGACTTTTTTAATTATTGATTCCTACTAGATGTTTAGAATACTGTCCAAAAATTTGAAATCGATTGGAATAAAAGTTTCGGAGATAGAGCTTTGGAAAATTTAGCTCTCACGGCCAGCTTTATTATTGTCGTTCAAAATTTTAAGCACGTTTTTCTCGAAACTGTATGGTTATTTTTTCCTTCATTCAACAACTAGTCCCAAATGTTACCTAAAAGTTGTAATTTTTTTGCTACTTTGCAATGATCCTGCCATAAGTTTGGCTGTTAGCGCGATAACACCTTATGTCGAATGGGTCATTGAAATTAACGTTTCCATAGCTGAATTATCCGCATTTTTTAGTGAAAATTTCCGGAAACCCATAAAACCCCTTGCGCTCGTTTTATATTAAAACATACGACAAGTGATAAAAATCCCATTGGTGTTGGAAAATCATCAAGCAATACAGAAAAAAATCACGGAATTTGGATTTTTTAAAAAAGTAAAATTCTAATACGTTAATTTACAGTTAAAGCAATTGGTAGATATTAGACCATTTATTGATTTACCTGGTCAATACTTTTTAATTTGCCTTTTTGTCCAAGTGGTCCGTTAAAGGCTTCCCAGATAAGACATCCAAGTCCCCACATGTCAATCGAGCTGTTCACATTTTTTCATCAATATTTCATTTAAAACCTAAATAGTTCAAGGATGAAGTACTCAAGCGTCTTGATTCTCAAAATCAAGTACACAAATTAGACAAAAGAATTTCTCTTACCATTTCGTAGAAGGTTTAACTTTGTCTCGAGCGTCAGGCGGTGTGTAGTGTTGTAAAGGGTGGGGTAAAAATGTATAAGGTGCATCCACTGATGTCATGTACTCAACACATCCTAATTTCCATTCTCCACTCTCGTCATTTACGAATACAGAGTACAAATTTACATTGTTATGACGAAGATTGCCATCGTTATTCAAAAAACTAAGTGCCCTCTAGATTCATATAAAATTCAATCAAATACATTTTATTATAGCAGCAATTTGTTCTATTTAGGAGACCCAAACGTAGATTTTCATCTTCATCTTCCTAACAAAAATTAAAAAAAAAAATTCAATGATGAAGAACTGACAGAATATCACTATAACTGAAAAATAATTTTCTTGTGAAGGTCTATCAATCTTATTGACAAATAAATTTTATAGATGAAAAGTCCGCGAAATTTTCAGTCATAATATCATCTTGCGTTGCTTAGGAGTATGTAGGAGTAGGGAGTTTTGGCAACACTGAAATTCCCGAAGCTTCAGCCCGTAGCGCCTGAATTACGCTATGTCATTTCGTTAAAGAAAAGATAGAAAATGCAACAATAGTATATTTCGATATAAGTGAGACGGAATTTTCACGAGTGTGAAGTTGGCGAGCCGAGGCGAAGCCGAAAGCTGCCAATCACACCAACTGAAAATTCCCGGTTCACATGTGCCGAACAATATTTTTTGACATTGATTTTACCTTCAGCGAGTGCCGGACTGTGCACTCTTTGGTTACTAGTAAACGAAAAAGTACGAGGTAAACGTAGCAGCTATGTCAAAAAAAATTTATTTGGCTCCAGAATCTCTATTTTAGGGTTAATTGCTTTTCTCCGTGTAATACAAAAAAAAATATATATATCTGCGAGAGGAGTGGATAGAAGGAAGTTATCTCACAAAATATGAAAAAAAAATGACTCGTGGACGCAAGAAGAGAGACACGTTTCTAGAGGAGAAACCTCATCACCAGGTGCCCATCTTCCATCAGAGGAATAAGCTGAGGTCCTTCGTAGAACTTGTAAACGGCCGGAGTAGGTTCCCGATTGGGAATTGTCAGGCGAACCTGAGGTTTGATCAGAACTTGATATGGCAGTGGTCAGTGTCAACTGATCGGGCAGAACTTGATAAGAGACTGATCAGTCTTCGATTTGCCCAACCTGATCCGTACGAGTATGATCAGGTCCTAATAGGATGAGCTTAATATGAACCTGAGGTTCGCTCATCTGTGATCATGCTGATCAAGTTCGGATCAGGTGGGCCTAAACTTAAACTGTGATCCACCCGCCTGCAACTATTCGAATCAGATTCTGATCAGATTAACCTGACACGAAGTTGTGCTGTCCCAGGAATTATTGGGTTCAAGTGCACATCAGATGAGCTTGAACTAAATAATTTAATTATTAACTTATCATTATTATTTTCTTATCTCGTAAATTAAAAGGCTGGATGATCCTCGAGGGCTTCGACTTCACCTTGAAGACCACCCAGCAAGCTAAGAGATACGAAGAAGTCCTAATCGCTCTGCAGTAGCGCTCCAAGCAGAGGGTGAGCACTACTGTAGTCCAGAACGATGCTGTGTAAGTAGAATGGACCCAAGTATGACAGCCTTTTGTATCAGGCTGAAATCATCGAGCGCAAATATAAAAAACTGTTGCATGTCGCCAAGAGAGCAAATGATCAGGACGATTAGTCCAATCCTAAGCCCGCGGTTCAACTGACGCAGCTCCAGCAGCAGCGGTTGGTATTTGAGCCGTTTCTTCTCTTCCTTCGCAGCAATATTGCTCTCCGCTAGCGCCGAGAACTCCATCACGTGGATGCCTTTGTCTTCAAAGTTGAAGAAGACGATATCAGGTTTCGTCGCAGCGACGAGCCTGATCGTCGCAAACGACAAGTTCCAGTAAATCTTAGACCTCTAATTCACGACGACGAACTCAATATCTCCTAGAGCATAAGGCAAAATCGGCGTCCGATCTATCCCATAAGAATGCGGCAGATGGTAATACAACACTCTCAAAGCCACGTTGTGACGGTGGATATAACTCGTCACTGCATATGTTGGACAAGTTGACAAAAGATGCATCAGAGTTTCCAGGAACTGTTTGCAAACCCGCCACCTAACATCCGGAAGTTGCAACCCCATAACCCGGCTCCTATAAACCAGGGTGTTTATCACACTATCCTGATGAAGCCCTCGGTTTCGGACATTAAGCCAGCCGACTTCAAAAATGAACAAGTCAGCTGGATGGACAAGCCCTGTCCTTCCAGATGATGAAAGAACACGCCATGCAGAGGCCTGTCAACATGCAGACGAAGCAAGGTGGACTGCTCCGCCTCCTTCATGGTCGCTCTTCACCGAGATTCAGTCATACTGGTCAATGAATGACTAACTAGTTGACCACCTCGGCCACGATGAAACTACAACCCAAGAGCCTCAGTTGCGGTATCCGCCGCCTTGTAGAAAAAGGCCTGACTCCCACGAAGCTCATGATCGTGCACAAACTCCAAGAGAGAATCCAAGCCGTCCATCACGTCATAGGCCAAGCCAGGAACCAAGTGCCCATGGAGAGATTCTAGCCTGAGTAGTTCTCGGCTACCACTGTCACGCGGGAAGTATAAACGGGTCACGAAGATGGGAGGTGTAGGCTCCTGTAGATGTTCATTAATTTACGAGTATCCTTGTGCAACTACTTCAGCTCATCCCTCCTGCATTTGAGCACGCCAAACGAGTAAAGAAGAACTGGAACAGCGAACCTGTTTGTTGCGGTCACCTTGTTCTTTCCGGAGAGCTCGGACTTCCAAACTCTCCGAAGCCGCCGACAATACTCCCCCCGAAGAGTCCCCTTGACCGCATCAGCGTCCACTACGGATCGCTGATTCAAGCTAAGGTACCTATACGACTCCTCGGCGCCAAGATGTCTAATGATGGTTCCATTCACAAGGTGTACCTCTCCCATCTCGTCCCCAACCTTCCCCCTCTTCATGTGGAAGACTGCGCATTTGTCCAATCCGAAGTTCATACCGATCGCGCTTGAGTACGCTGCAACAACAAGCTGGAGCTTGAGTTGCCGCACTCCAGTGGCAAATACCTTCAGATCGTTCATATAGAATATATGGCGAACCTGATGCCTTCGATCGCCGGGTCTTCTGGCTCCGTATTCACCAACGCCGCGCAAGGCGACAGACAGGGGCATCAGTGAGATGCAAAACAAGAGAGGGCTTAAGATATCGCTCTGAAAAAAGTAAGCCGACGCGCACCAGATGTTATGGTGAAGTGCGTCCTCCAAACTGGTGCAAGATGCATCTCACGATATTTTCCTCTACTGCAAGGCACTTCGAGTAGCAAGAAAATGAGCGTATGATTCGTGCTATCAAATGCCTTACGAAAGTCGACCCAGGCCACTGACAAGTGCCGATACTATATCGAATTGCGTAATCTGTAGCGCTTGATGAGTAAGTTCTCTTTGCTCCCTGACAGCAACCGTTTCGCCCCTTGCTGTTCATGAATCTGTCACCACACAGGCTACATCATGCAAGATACGCTCATTCCCGACTCCTCTGAATAGTTTATAGAGCGTATTCAGGCATGTCATCGGCCGGTAATTTGCCGGGTCAGACAAGTCTCCCTTCTTCAGAAGCAGCACAGTTCTCCCTTCTGTCAACCACTAAGGGAGCATCACGCAACACATCGATAAACGATGTGAGAACCCGAACCAGATGGCTATGAACCAAGGTAAACCTCTTCCACCAAAAGACCCTTGATGCCATCTGGACCCCGAGCAGCATGGTTCTCCATGCCTCGTAACGCAGCTTGAATTTCCTCCTGAGTAACTGGGGTGAATTCCGCGCGCTGCCGACGATGTTCGTCAACAAAACACACGAAATTGTGAAGAGCTGGAGTCTCCATCATGAGACGAGGAACGTGACTGTCAAGTGCTCCCCAGGATTCCTCAACTTGCTCGACTAATGGCATCTTGTCGGGTGCAGGCGCTGAAGGCTCGACTGGAGTCGGAATGAAGGACAGTATTGTCCACCACTCGCCGCAATCGCTTTTTTAGGGACCGCTTTGTAGCCCCTAGAACTCGAACCCTCTCGACAAATCTCTCCTTGCTAACCAGGAGGACTGCCCTATTCAATGTATGATGATGATACTGCAAGTTCGCAGATATTTTGCGAATTGGAGATATGAAATTTCGTCCATTTACGATGAAATGAATCACACTCTGAATTTGTGACGCCTGCTTCCGAGCCATCTCGATTTTCCCCTGAAGCTATGTAATTCGCCTCCTCATCTTCAGCTCAAACGATCCCCTTGCAAGGGTTCGCGGCTTTAGTCGACGCGCTGCTTCACAGAGCCTAGTTTATGTCGAGCAATCTAACATTCGGGGAGAGCACCGTAGCCAGTGTCTCATTCTCTAACGCCAGATTGTCATGCCGAATACACAACTTTCCCGTGACACATTCCCTCCTTGATCCCATATCCCTCGAAGCACTGCCTGGCACCTTGTCACGATGACAAGTAGGTAGGTTGCTCCGAGTTAGACTCAACGCTCCTTACAGAAATCTGAGAGAAGCGACCACTCAACAGTCGTCGTGGAAATCATCGAGCAAATCATAGCTCTGCCGACGTAAGTGACTAGCCCCATGTCGAAGATGCTGTGCGCTAAAATGCGCAAACTCGGGGTGCATGGCACACCACAAGTCCCGACCAAGACAGTCGCCGGCTGACTGTCAATCCAACATTGCATGAGGTCCTCCTTGAGCTTCTCCGACCATCTAATCCTATGGACAGCCAAGTTATTAGCATTGTCGGTTCTAGATCGGTCGTCCCTCCCAACTGATCCATGGTCCCCCTGCGAAAGGAATCGGCTGTGGGGGGCTATGCCGCGACTCGTTGGTAGAACCCAGTCTTGGAAATTACGGGTAGTTAGCCCGCAACTAACTTGGCTATTGCTGCAGCATGGAACACCATGCTGCTGGGCAGTGGATACGTCAACTTCGCTACGCCTTAAACTTATTATCATTATTATTTTTATTATTATTAAAAGTATATTAGGTGAAATTTTAATTGATTAAATTTTAATTTCTCAAAGTGAACCAATATCCCCAATATACATCGCATATGCAAAATAGTTCACTCAATAATAATAACGCAATAGTCTAGTGGCTAGGACATAGGATTAGTACTCGTAAGGTCCCCGGTCTGATCCCCAGTATCGGGAAAATAATGAAATTTTTGCAGCATTAATTATAGTAGGCATCCATTGATAGAAGATATACAATATGAAAAAATGATTAATTTTCTATTTTTAATTCATTATCATTGATAAATATCTATAATTTCGGTTATCAAGTACGTTTCGTTTCATACCTTTCAGTCTGTTCTACGTCATTTACAGGTACAATTAGAGAATCGAAAAATCGAAAGATGGCAGTACTTTCATTTGGAAGCAAAAATTATATAATTAACTGCCAGTGAAGATCCCCAATTGTAGTTTTGACTTGCGAGTTTCACGGGTACTAATCGGTAATGTCTGGAGTTTAAATTCCGTACGAAAGTGATAACGTACGGTCTGTACAATTACGAATCGATCTGACATTGAATGTCTTCTTCGAATCTGTATTATTCAATATTGATGGTATGTACATAAACGAAGCGCTAATATGAAACTTTTTATGACTACTCAATTAGCCAATTAGTAAATTATGTAGGTGCTAAAAAAACTTCTTTACCATTTGGATCTCCAAAATTTGTAAAACTTTAATGATAATTAAAGGTGACTTACAGTAATTTGAAAGATTCCCCAAGCAAAATACAATTCCTTCTTAACACCTTCTCCTATATCAATCTTCTTCAGTAATCTAGTGTGGAGGGGCTCCACACGTTCTGTCGCTAAATAAATAACTTTATCTGTCTAAAAGAATTATAAGTAATGTTAGTCCCAACATTCTCATTAATACTCAAAAATTATTGATAGATTTTAGAAACAAAGATATGATTCCAACTTGACCATGGAATTGTCATTTTTCAAAAATTCATTCATATCATTAGTCTCGCCGTAATTCTAAGATTCTTTATTTATTTAGATAATTCTGTATTTTTTCCCTATCTTTGATAATTCTCCAATATTGTTACGAAGTGGAAGTTTTCTCATTGATGTTTGTTGGGTGAATACTGTTGAAATAAATTGGCATTTTAACAGTAGTATTTTCATTTACACGAAAAATACTTATCAGGAGAGTTGTACCATTTTGAAAGCTCATTTCTCGAGCTTTAGGATAGTATAGAATATTTAATCAGTTTCGTTTTTAATTACTAAAATTACAGTATATATTCTTAACACACACATTAAATGGAACACATTGTTATCACATTTAATCGTTCATATACCAATGCAAACTGGAAATAAGCCAATGAAAATAGTATAATTGGAAAGCTCAGCAAGTGAGCTTCAAAATGATATAGAATAATTCATTTGTCTAATCTGTTAAATCGTTCAAATTTTCACATAATCGTTAACATTCAAAATAAATGTGACAGGTCGTAATGACGCTTAGTGATTCATAACTCAGAACAGAATGCACATAGTTAAAGGAAAATAGTTTTAATGAGAAGCAGAATAAATGAGCTGTAAAATGATATGTAAAAGTCATATAGGCTGGGTGCATGGGACAGAGCTAAGCGAGAGGGAGGGAGGGGGAAGTGCTGGTATGAGCAACCAGACGGACCGGCCACACGGTGATAATGTCGATGCCTATAGGTTAAGCCAGACACAGAAAGGTAGGGAGAGGAGCGGGACCCTTGAGGCTGGAAGGGAAACACCTCTATCATTAACCGAGGTTAGGACCAATAGCATGGAAGGACTTGAGAGGTGAATGACGGACTGGGAGCAGTCATGGTGGACATGGAACAACTGATTAGGACAGAGGTAAGGCAAGTTGCTAGGCACAATACATGCAAGGAAAGCGAGAAGAGAAGGGTACAAGAGAAGAATAGAAGACATAGGGAGGACGAACAGGTTGCACAACTACAAGAAAGATGTAAAGAGGCAGAGGACGAAGCAGAGGTACTGGCGAGAAAAGCGGAGTAGTGGAGAGAAATGGCAGAAAGCTGGAAAAGAAAAGCCAGGGGTCTAGAGAAGGGATCCACGGGAAAAAAAAGGAGGATATAAAACCGTATGAGGACGCAGAATACTGGACGGAAGATGGCGAAGAGGAAGAGCATCAGGCAGTCGTTGTTATTACTACTGGAAGCCTGGGGGGATGAAACAAGACCAGCAAACTAGAGTCGGAGGAGAATAAGAGGATAAGGATGTAGAGGGTGACAGGGTGGAAGAACACAGGGATGAAGGGGCAGTGGGGGGGGGGGGCGAGAAGGAGAAGGGAAAAGAAGCGGAGGAACCCAACCTGGCCCAAACGCCAATAGATTGGGAGATAGCGGGGGCGATGAATATGATGAAAATGGAAAAAGCGGTAGGAGAAGGTGGTATCCCAGCGGAATCTTGGAAGAACCTCCTAAAGGAAGGAAACGACGAATTGATCGATATTATTAAGGAGATGTGGAGAAAAGACGAGTTTGTGGACAGATGTAGGTTGGCAACGATATACCCCATTCACAAAAGGGGCGACCTCAACTCGGTGGGAAATTACAGGGTAGTATCCCTACTGAGCATTGGATATAAAGTACTGACATCAATAATGGCTCGGCGACTGGCAGGTTGGTTGGAGGAAAATGAGAAACTATCAGGAGAGGAACAATGGAGTAGGTATTTGTAGTAAACACTCTGATCGGCAGTAGATTTAAGAAGAAAGGGGAGAAGCTCTACGTAGCATTTGTGGATTTTAAAGCGGCGTTTGACAAGGTGGACAGAGAGAAGCTGTGGGAAAAGATAAAGAATATGGGAATTCAAGGGAAGTTCTCAAGGATGACACCGAGGATATACGAGGGAACGAGGAATCGAGTGATAATGGGAGAGGGGCTGACAGGAGAATTCAGGAAGAAGGGGAAGGGGGTGAGGCAAGGATGCCCATTAAGCCCAATATTATTCAATATCTTTATCCAAGATCTAGTGGAGGCCTTCGAGAGGAGAGAAGATGGAGGAGCAGCAATAGGAGCAGGGGCTGTGGTTAAGGCTTTTGTACTGATGTACGCAGACGATGCGGTTTCGATAGCGGAGGGCGGGGCTGGACTAGAAAAAATGTTGGAGACACTGGAGCGCTAGTCAGACAACAATCAGATGGAGGTGAGTGTAGAGAAGACCAAGATAATGATCTTCAGGAGGGGAGGACGGCGGAATGCGGAAAACTGGAAGTATAAAGGGACAACAATAGAGGTAGTGAAGGAGTTTAAATACCTAGGATTGGGGTTCACGACAAGGAACAGTTTTGGAAGGCATATGAGGAAGCTGGCGGGGAAAGCACAGTGTCGGGTAAATAAGGCGTGAAGAGAAATAACAAGAGGAAAGCCGAGGAACCAACGAAGGCGGCTGTATTTCATGGGGGGAACGGTGAAGGGAGCTGTGTTGTACGGAGTGGAGCTATGGGGATGGAAAAGGCAGGAAGTGATTGAAAGGGTCCAGAAGAAATACACCAAGGCGAGCGTGGGACTGGCAGTGTAGAAGTGCAAGCTGTGAGGAGAACGGCGCCGTTCCGGTTGAAGGTGAGCAAGATAGATGAAGGTAGGTGAGCGAGAAAGTGTTTAAGGGAGGAACTCAAGGGGATCCTAAATAGCCATCCGTTGGAATGGGGAAAAGGGGTGCAGGACAAGCTGAAGTCATTGAGAGATGGTGAACTGTGAAATGTGAAATGGTGAACATGAGGAGGTAGAAAACAGACTGAAGGAGCTGCTGGAGACGCTGGAAGATCAGGAAAGACAACAGAACTGGAATAGAATAGAGAAAGCAAAATACTGTGATTATTACAACAGGGTGAAGAAGAATAATTAAATGGCTGAATATTGGAGGGATACAGGCCTGAAGGTAGGGCAGAAACTAGCCTGGGGAAGGTGGAGATGCGGTAATGTGCTCAGGGGTGGGAAGAAAGGCTTTGAGAAGGAGGAGTGTAGAGCGTGCGGCAGGAAAAAGGAACTCCTGAAACACGCGGTGGGGTGCAAAGTCCTGATGAGCAGACTAGGACAGGAGGATGAAAAGTTGCAAGAGAGCAAGCAACTGGAAGAGGTGGGGATCAAGAGCAATTGAATTGCTCAAGGAAGAACCCACAAGGAAAATATGTGATAGACTGGGGAGGCTTGAAAAGACACTGAGAAAGGCGGAGACGTGATAGAAGACAAAAAGGACGAGAGAAGGCTGAGCTACGAAGAGAGAGGAAAGAAACGAACAAGTGTCAACCTTAAATCTGCGAAAGCTAAAAGAGGGAACGGCTAAGCCGCTCAATTGGGTCCAAACTGTTATAATTTGTTAATTTTATCAATATCAAAACCGTTACATATTAATATTAAAATGTTAAAATATGAAAATGTATCTACTGAAAAAAAAAACTGAATGGGTTATGAGAGACAAAAAATGGCCGGTGACGATGTAAAACAGAGAGAAACGTTTATAACATCAAAGACGAATAAAATTTGAAAAAAATATAAGTCATATTTATTCTTCCATTAATTTGATGAGGACATGTGATGAAATATAACGTGGATATTTCATATGATCACAAGCCGAAACGCTCGCAACGAAAGACCGAATCGATATCAATGATAGAAAATAATATCATTCGAAAGCCCAGAAAATCAGCTTTCAAATGATACTGGAAATGCAGTCTTTGCTTATATTGGCGCTGAAAATTTGGTCGAACCGAAAACGTCCAAGCTAGATGTGACATACCAACTTCATCTTTCCTGATATTCAAATACTCGTAAGTTCGGTTTACGTAGAGATAAGTAAATGAAATTTGAACCATTTATAAGCTGATTTAGCGAGCTATAGGGTTGCGCCTCATTTATATATAGGAGAGGGAGACATTGCGGACTGAAAGTACAAGTGAATATATGTGGTGTATTGCGAGTGATCTTAAGTAGTAGAAAACTTCTGCTATCATCAATCATGTAAGCTATGTATTTAAGGCTAACCCCATTATAATGGATTTTTTTTTGTATTTACATTCACAAACAGTTTCTGTTGAGGTGCATATATTACGTTTTAAGCCATGCTTCTACTGATATCGCCTGGAAAACTTGAGAAAAAACTAATGATAGAATTTGGAACTCTATTCGAATTTTTCATAGATTGAAAGAAAACAAATTGTTTCTTTGCAAGTTATTGTTTCGAGAAAAGGGTGATCCATTAAAAAAGACATGGTTTCAGTTTTTGATGTTTCTTTTTTAAAGATGTCGAATACCTTAATAGCAGTATCTTAACATACTAGTCGGTTAATATGAGTTTCAATAAAGTCAGTTTGGTTCAAAATGACATTTATCACCTTCTGCGTTATTACGATGTCTTATTGTGTGACAAAGAATGCTCGAAATCGACAAAGATTTCAGAAATTTTCGCGGAGATTGCAATAAATAATTATATTTTGAAAAAGCAGTAAATACTCGAATCAAGTTAAGGTCCGAAGAATTACACCACTATTTAAGGCCCGGTTAGAGTATCTGATCATCTCGTATAGTTTTATTATTTTTTTTATCTGAAATTTTGGTGCAGGCTTAAAAAGAGTAAAAAATAGTATTAAAATGTAAAGTCCAAGCTTTTTAATTGCGATGGAAAGTTAATTCTAGAAAAGCACTACCTGTGAATGTCTGATTTGATGAAGCTGTGGGGAGACGAGCGGGCTGTGAAAGTAAATCATTTCCTGCGGGATTCAGGGAGGATTATTTTACAAAATCGTTCTCTGAGAAATTTTTAATTATTTTCTAAGATTGTTTCCTTCCTCATAATTGGCAGATGTCTCCGAATTAGATGGCGAAAAAATGAGATGGTGATGAGCGGAATATAAGTGTACGGAATGTAAGTCACTCCGTACGCAGCACATGAAAGGCAATTGCTGAATATTATTCATCCAAGAAATTTGAATATTTGAGTATTTTTGAATTTTCTCAGTCGCAATAATCTTACCCTATAATGGATATAATGCAGAATTCTCTAAATTGGAAACCCAGAATTAAGGTGGTGATAAGTTGTCTCGGGGGGATGGGTAGAGGAAGTGAAATGAACGCATACCTAAATATTTTTTGCGAAACATCAAAACATAAAAATTGAACTCTGCAAGGTTCATCCTTCCTTCCCTTACCCGTGCAAAGTGACCAATGATCACTACCTCCATTGAAGGTTTTTAATTCCGAGAATTCTACGCATTATACGGTAAAATTGGTGTAATTAAAAAAATATCTATAAATTTCTTAGAGAATAATATTTAACAATTGTTCTCCATGGGCTGCGTACGAAGTGATTTACATTCTGTACACTTCCCCTCCAGCCCTCTTCTGTCCCGTTGAAGTGACAGCTGATCGCCACGTCAATTTTTCGATATCTAAGTTGGGGACATCTGCTAATTATGAGGTAAGGAAATTATGATTGCAAAAATTTTAAAAAAGAATTAAAAATTTCGCAGAAAACGACTTTGCAAAATAATCTCCCTTAATCCCTCAGCGAATGATTTACCTTTAGAGTCTTTCGCTCACCCCCCTGCTCCACCAATTCAGACATTTGCAACTTGTGCTTTACAACAATTATCCTCCCATGTCAATTGCAAAGCACGCACTCTATTTTTCAAATTTTTTCTAACTTTTCTTCCAGCCTACATGCATTTATGTGGTGCAGTTCTGCTTGATGCAGGGTTGCACCAAAGTTTCAGATGCAAAAAAAAACACAATCTATACGAGATAATCATATTATCCAACCGGGCTTTAAATGGAAAGAATTTAACAATTATAAGTGGCTCACAGCCTGCCACAGATAAAAAATGTAATAAAAAATAGAATCTTCCGAAATTACATGGGCCCTGGGGCAAAACTGTCCGCATGCTTTTCGCCAATTATTTTATCCCTATCAATTGAGACTATTAAAATGACAAACTCTTCCTTGTTTTTGCTGAAATATGCTGAATGGTCAAGTTGAAGCCCTCTATGTATTAATCAACCTTGTACTCGATATTATAAGCAGCGAACATATAACCGATAGATAATTTAGTCATTAGTTTCCTTGATAGAAGGCGTGTCATCTACTGTCAAATCTTCAGTCAATTGAAATGTATAATTACCTCCAAACTGTCGATAAAAGTGAGAATACTTGGATGTCTGAGTGTTTTCAATCTCTTTACAGCATTTCTAGCAATTTCTAATTGACTCTCCCCAGCGGCTTTAATGTCGTAAACAAACACAGACACATCCTCGCCTCCAGAAGTACTCTAGAACACCCAAAGACAAAAGAATGTACTTCAAATTGATTCCATACAATTTTCCGCAAGTTTTTTTCTGTTTCTATTGTCAAAATATCTATTTGTCAACAACAACAGAGGGAAATCAATTTTTCGAATACGTAAAGAAATGAGTAGAAACTAAACACTTAAAACACTACGGCTAAGTTCTCAGCGAAAATATTTATATACTCATAATTATAACCAGTTTTTCGTTTAAGTGAATAAATTACCTTTTTTTTTGCTCTATAAAGCGTCCAAATGCTTTTGCCGTCGAGTCCATCCACAACTTCACCAATTTCATATGGAAAATCTTTAGTGGGATCCCGTGAAAACAGAGACCACATTTTGAATCTCAACACAAATCTTGGTGGTCACTAAATTCATTAACTTGACTATTACTGTCATTTGAAAACTTTCTTGTCAGTTGCTGAGGCACCCACTTGTGCTCCAAGCATTCACTAATCTCTATAATCACTCTGTATCGTCAACCTGACATCTCATAACGTATCAGCCCCTCGACACCTCAATCCTTCTATTTAACAGCAAATGGAATATTTTTGCTGTTATACTAGGTTTTCGTCCCCCATCAACTTCAACAACAGCGCAGAGGAATATTTTACTAAAAGCTAACCTCGTTGCTAATGGATTTTTAACCGACATAACTCTATGAAGACTATATTGAAGTCAGCATAAGTTTTTCCTTCGATTTTAGGAGTGAGGCACATAGTTACAAATGTGACTACGTGGAGTGGCAGTGAAAAGTATTTTAAATTTTCACCTTGAGAGGGCTACGTTGTACGAAATCGCATCGTACTACGCTCATTATATCTACCTTTTCAATGGCATTAACTTACGCTAACCGCGCATACACTTTATGCTAGCTTATAATTTATAACAGAGGTGGGCAACCTCAGGTAGGCTCGGAGCTGTAGCCATAAAATTATTGAGGTTTTAAATATAAGGGACGTAACGTGATTACAAGGATTGTCGTATATTTGAGTGATGGTTAACATCGAGCGATAGCGCATGCGCGTGATTGACATGTGAGGGCAAAATGGTTTGAATTTTTATGCACGTGTTCGTACATATTTTTTTAGTTTAAAAAAAATGGAATTAAGAGATTATGGTTTGGATTCAATATTCATTAGAAATGAAAGTGGGATGCTCGTGAACTTGTGAAAGAAATATTTCATCGTCAAATTAAAGATTAAAGGATGCCGATAATTTTTTTGATTATGAGAAAATTATGAATTTTAATTTGGCATCGAGAGCGGGAAATACAGAAATCAAATGAAAATTAATGTCAAGTCAGGCTTTATTAACAACATGATAGTATTTAATAACTGTTTTGCGAGAAAAATATTTCCACTTCAAGAAATGTATTAAAGGTACAAAATTTTTCATTATACAATCGATTAAAAGCAACCAATAACCAGTCAAAAGCATATAACAACAAAAAAAGCAATAATACAAAAAATGTTTCTATTAGTGAAATGGAAAATTTTTCTATTTCACTTTTTCCACTATCACTACTCTTACCTACGCGCAGGGCATCATGGGCCCGAAGGGGGTGCAGGCATAAATTTTATGACTTGGGACAATTTTGCCTAATGGAGGTCGGGAGCTGGAGTAGCTCCGAGAGCTGAGGTTGCCCACCTCTCGACTAGACCATTAAACCAAACTGTATCGAAAGCTTTTTCCAAATCGAGAAGGACGGCTCCTACCATTGGATTTTTGAAAATATATTCATTTACATCAGATAATAATTTATTAACTACATGTAACGTCGAATGATTGTGACGGAACCCATATTGATTATCAGGGATTACTTTATTTATTTTTTCATAATGTAGTATTGAGTTATTTATTACCGCTTCATATACTTTACTAATTGCAGGTGTTCAGCTAATGGGGCGGTAACTAGCTGGGTCATTTAGGGGTTTTTCTTTTTTATACATAGGAATTACGATGGCTGTTTTCCATTGTACTGGGAAATAATAATTATCAAAGGCATTGTTAAATATTTTAGTAAGGTCTACAATTATTTTACCAGGTAGATGACGGAGAACTATAGGTGGGATCCTATCAGTTCCACTGGAGATTTTATTGGGTAGATGTTTAAGAATTTATTTTACGGTAATTATATCAGTAAAGTAATTACTAATATTAACATTGTTATGTGCATCTGTTGCTTCGTTATTATTACTAAATTTAGTAATTGTTATATTATTATTAATATTATTGATTAAATCGTTATGAAATTTAGTAATTTTTTGATCTATTAAGTTTTTAAGCGGAGTATTATCATTTAAGTGGTTAGGTAAATTTACTTTTTGGTAATGAGCTCTCATTATATTATTTAAATCGTTTTGGTTATTTATTATGTAGAAGTTGTCTATTATAGGGATATTATTGGGATTGCAGTTAGCATCTCTAATTAGATTTATGTTGTTTGTATTAATTTTCAGTTCATTTATTATCTGCCTTTTTTTAGGTCTAAAAATGTTATTAACTAACGGCATGAATCGATCTGGGCCTTTAAAATTAATTGTTTCTGTGGTAGTTTAGTGAATTCTGAGATATACTTATCAATTGAATCATTAGAGAGGTTAGAATCATTGGGAACAATACTAGAATAGTTATCATAAAGATATTTAGTGAAAACTTTCCAATCAGTATTTTTATAATTAAAAAGAGTGTGAGATATATTTATTAGGGTATTAATTTTTAAGTGATTATGTTCTAAATCAAGAATTATTATTAGCGCCTTATGATCCCTATCATATATGAGAGTTTTTGTCCGACATCTTTGGGAAGTCTGGCTCCTTCAGATAGTTGATGTCCGGGTTTTATTTCTCATTGTGCCAGAAGACCCAAGATAATTTTTATATCTGTAGTTTTTTTTTTATGATAACCAGTGAAAGTGGACACTTGTATTGGTAATGTTATGTAAGTGGAACATTCGATATGAATTACAAGTGTAAAAAAATTTTTTTCTTTGTATAAGGTAGGTGCTTCCTAATATAACGTCCTCACAGGACGGTTGTTAGGGGCAGACTGCCCAGAAGGCACATCGGTTGAGGTGGAAGGGTCAAAGGGGGCATCTGCTGAGGCAGGGACCACCGCAGACCACCTAGGCTGTGCAGGAACAGCATTCCCCGCAGAAAAAGGCTAGTACCCCTAGAGTAAGGGAGGGGGCGGGGGTGGAGAAGAGGACCAGACCCAAAAAGCATAGGTCCTCCAGGACCACACCTCCGGAGGTCGCCATGCCTACGAAAAATGCAAAGGGCGAAAGACAGCCTTGGTACGCCCGCGTTCAGGGAGGCGACAAAAGAAGGGGCAAGGGTGACCATCGTACCACCCACCCACGGAGGGCCATGCGGAACTCCCGAATGTTTGGGATTGACCAGAGGGTTAACTCCCGAGCTTCTCGGGCCTCGGGTTTGAGCGGGGGGTATGGCGGGTAACGTGCACTGAAGTGAGTGGGAGGTGAAGGTGACTGCACGGGGGGGACTGGCCAAGGCAGGGCTTCCCGGGCAGTTACCCGGCCGAGAGGAGGTAGCGCCCGAGGGCGCGGAGGAGACTGAGTTGGTCAGGGGTTGGGGGCGGGGG